AATGATGGACAGGGAAAGACTGGCCGGACTACTGTGTTAATCCTGTACTCATCATTTAGGCAGCTTGGTCTTACCAGCAGCCATTTCATACTCTTGTGTGTGTTTCCCTGTGGGCACAACAGACACTAGGTTAAAAACCCCATGGACACAAAACAATGACAAGTCTGGTGTAATTCTGAGCATATTAACACTGAATTCTCTCATCTAGAATGACAGCCTACTCTTACAATGTGACAGCAAAATCCAATAATCCTTTATCAGCTATTTGGACCACCAGAACCAGTAATGAGCCTACCATGTTGATAGTCGCTAATGTCAGTTAGATTCTTTGGCAGAATGCCCTTTGTGGTTGGGAAGTCTTAGGGCACTGTGTAATTCCGATGAAAGGTTAGTGAGCTGAAACACAAACTCTTTCTTTCTCCACAGATGCTGCTGAACTTGCTGTATATTTGCAGCATTTTGAACAAAATGATGTAATGTCTGTCAGGACAGGATGAGGAATCTGTTCTTAAATAGTAAAAGGGCTCATCACACTAGGAGTTTATATTTCCAGAGGCAAAAGGTCTGGTATTTGAAAGGAATCTTAAAATTTTGGTCAATGTGTGATTGCAGCAGTAGGTCAAGAATGTCAATAAAAAGCAAAGTAAATGTAGGCAATGCCTCTGGACAATAGTCCTTGAAAATAGTGGTTCCCAAATTTTTCTTCTGTTGTGATCCCACAGTGAAAATTGGGAGGAGGGAATGGGCAGAGTAGAGTTGTTAAATGGACTGTGGGTTGGGGGGGGGTCAAACAATAAGGATACAGGCATTAAAAACAAGACAGCCCCTTAGCATTTCATAGGCTATGTTGCTGACAGTTTCAGGTTTGAGCTCAGGGGATTAGGTTATCTCCACTGGCAAAGGGAAAATGCACATTTAAAGGCATCTCACAGCCAACCCTAGGAAGGTCAAATCCAAGCCTATGTTTCACAAATGCTATTGGTGACTAACCCCAGTTAAATATCCCATAACCCCAGTGGGTGTTAACCATCAAGCATTCCTGGCTCAGAGCAGTTTCTAACCCTCTCTCCAGCCCAGGCTTCAAATCAACCCTCTTAAAATGTTAATACCAGATCACTGAAACACAGCAGTCAGTCTCCATAAGGGTTTCTCCTGAAGGTATTCAACACACTATTCATAATTTAACATACGTCAGGAGGTAGGATTATTTTACACTCAATGTCATTGACAATATTCCAATTAACAAGCTATTCCCCACAATAACTACCAGCCCATTCCTCCTCCTCCTCATTAGACTTGGATCAGTGGGTAACCTGGATAAGAACTGCCAGTCAGACTTGGAGCTATGCAACACGTTTGCCTGAATGTGGGTGTAAGACAGAATTGTTCAGCTTTCGTAAGCTACTTTGCGTCATTTCCTACTGGCCATCTGTTGTAATGCTCAAAACATGTAAATGTCACATGATTGCAGCTTCAGTTTCAGCATTGAGAAATGCAGAAAACTGGGAATTTCAATTAAATTGAGCTTTGCTGCTGTTCCCAGGACATCTGCATTTATCATATTTCCAAATGAGTCCCTTATTCGTAAGGCAAACTGAGCTTGCCACTATATTCAGTCATGAAGCTTTCACTGTCGATGTTGCCCATCTTAGAAGTGTTACCAACTTTGGTGAAATGTAAGCTTTTTCTTATAGATTGCTAAGCACAATACACAACACCATGATGATAAATTGTCTCAGAGGCAGTTTACAAAGTTCAGTCAATCCTCAGTCTCCCTTGAATCCTTGCTGTTTCATTTCTGGGTTTCTTGCCCGAATCATACTTGAACTCTGCATTTTGCGTATAGAATATCACATAAAACAGGCGTCCTGTTTTCTCTGAAATAGTTGGTCTGGTCTTTACGATAAAAGTTAGAAAAATAATGTTGAAAACCACTGCATTGGCAGGAAGACGTTCTTAATTATAGTGGCAAAGACACCTTACTTTTCCACTGGCAGTAATTGGCACTGCTTGTGTAGTTGATTCCATCATTGTAGTGTGCTGTCAGGTACATTTGGTCTCAGTGTCCCCCGACTGGGCAGGACACGCAACACACGGAGTATGCTATAATTATAGAATGAGCCATTGTGGGCTAACTGCTCAAAGACTTTAAAGATAATCATGAAATACAGCTACTGGGCGCAACACCTGCAGGCAGAGTGACAGAGATCAACATCGATACAAGAATCAGCATTGGTGTTCTCACAACTGCACACAGTGCAATGATTCAACACCATCAGCACGACCAGGAGGCTGGGATTGCACATGCTCTTGGAAGAAAACAGCAAACGTGTTGTGGAAATTAGATGTCTACACAGAATCTTGAGTGTCACTTGAAAAGACATCAATTGATGTGTAACAAAAACAGAAGTTACTGGAGAAATTCAGCAGGTCTGGCAGCACCTACGGAGACAGAAAGAGAGCTAACATTTTAGGTTGGTATATATGCTGAAAACGGATGGATGTAGCCTAGAGACAAAGCAGGTGAATGGGTGACGGTGAGCCTGAGAGAAAGAAAAGCTGATGATGGGGACCATTAATGAGCAAAAATAGGTTGGCTGTGATGAAAGTTGCCCGTGAAATGTTAATTCTGCTTCTCTCTCCACAGATGCTGGCAGACCTGCTGAGTTTCTGCAGCAATTTCTGTTTTTGTTTCAGATTTCCAGAGTCCGTAGATCATTTTTTTTTTGTTTAATAGATAAGTGCTATGTAGGACCGGTCAAAAGGAGCCTACAAGACAGTCTGATGGACAGATGAGAGATTGCAGGGGATGTCTTTTGCCTTCTGGACTCATGCTTCATCAGTGGCTGTAGAATAGACACTAGCACACCTGATGAAATACATGTATGGGAAGACACCATATGCACTGGAACATAAGAGATTGCAAAGGATGGGGTCTGATAGCATTGCCTTGCTACCCATAGTTCCTCTGGTTCTGTGCAGGATAAAGTCTGACTTGTACACGGCAATTGCATTGCCAAGAATAACTACTAATATGTTCCATGGTGGCAGTTTTCCCACATGGTTTTGCTCATCTCTGCCAAAATTGCTTGCTGTTCCAGGAACCCTGGAATAGAGATAACCCACATCTCCGGTTTTCACTGCAAACTTTCTAGTTAAATCCCTCACTTCACTACCCCCTCCATTCTCACGTGTAACAATTAAGCAGTTTATTGATGCCGTTGTTAATAAGATCGAGTCCATCATTCAGCTGGTTCCTTTCCCCCTAGCCAACCAAACCAGATTTCCAGAGCTGGCATTTCCCCGGTTCGTCTTGTCCTGCTGCTCCAATCCTATCTTAGCACCTAACTTCTCATCTAGTCCTCAGTTAGGTGTGATGTGGAGGTGCCGGTGTTGGACTGGGGTGGACAAAGTCAGACGTCACATGACACCAAGTTACAGTCCAACAGGTTTATTTGAAATCACAAGCTTCCGGAGTCTCGTTCACCATTTCACCTGAAGGAGGAGTGAGGCTCAGACAGCTCACGATTTCAAATAAACCTATTGAACTATAGCCTGGTGTTGAGTGACTTCAGTCAGTTAGGTGGAAAGGGTTAACTATTCCCTCTCAAGTACTGTGCCCCGCTCCTTCAAATTTGCCTTTACTTCCACCACCTCAATTTCTTTATGCAATCGCTCTAATCAGGTTTTAATCCACCCCACAGCATGAAGTAGCCTTAAATTCACTAATGCTAATCAGTTGTAGCTTTGAATAAACTTGTCCTCCTCAACTTTGACATGAGTGTTCACGCCATCCTTACTCATCTTTGCCACGCAGCTGGGTGGAAGTATACTCTCCCAGTTCCATTCCCCTGTTTAAAATCTCAGCCAGAGAACCACTTGCAATGGTTGCTATTTCTGCTTCCACATTGATCACCAGAGTCCTCTCATGATCAATCCTTAACACGCTGCCCCCATTTCTCATCAGCAACCTGTCCATCAGAGACAGTGTGCTAAAAGTTGTTATTCTACACATGTAGAAAGAAATCCCAACAGCACTCCGAGCATCTCACTGCCTCTGATCAGTCATGGATTGACAATATGTGCCAAATTTTGTCAGACCAAAACTATCTTCGTGACAAACATTACCCTCCAGTTACCAATTCCATTTCTCTTTCTGCTACTCTCTAAGGCCTAACTAAACTGTTCCCAATCTGTGTCATAACTTCTGATCTCGTCCTCCAGCTCGAGACCGTGTCAAGTATCTAGCTCCACTTTGGTTCATCTGCTGTTGAAACCCTCATCCCTGCCTTTGTTACCCCTAGACTGGACTGCTCTAATGCTCCTCTTACCAGTTACCCATCTTGCATCCTCTATTAACCTCAGCATAGCGTAAAGCCTGTTGCCTACATTCTTGACCTGCTTTAAATATCACCCCTCTGCTTGCTGTATTAAAACATTGTAGGACAGCAATGTCTTAATTTTGAAGTTCAGTCTTAGGGCCTCCCATCTCTGCAATCTTCTTCAACCCCAGAACTTGCCCAAGATCTACATTTCTTCAATTCTAGCCTCTTGCAAATTCCGGATTTTCTTCACCCTGCTTCTGACAGGTGCGGCATCAACTGGCTACGCTCCAAGATCTGGAACGTCCTTAAACCTCCACCATTCTACTTAAAATTACTATCTTTGACCAAGCCTTTGGTCACCTGCCAAACACGTTGTGCCTTGATGTCAAGTTTGGTTTCATAGAACATTTGGGAAGTGCCTGAGAGGCACGTTTTACATGAAAAAAACTTCAGAGTGAATGCAGTTCTTCTTACAGTCTTGGTTTCCTTGTTTCCCCATGGACCAATCTCATGTTTGAATCTGTGTACACCAGTCTGTCAGAAGCTGTGCTAAAGTCAAAAAGCTATAACGTCCACTGGCTTTCACAATCACATAGTTCCATAAAGCTACCAGATATGAGCTTGCTTCTATGACATTGCATTCTCACCAATGAAAAATGAATACCAAAAATTGCATGTTTTTCTAAAAATTTTATTTTTAGTATTAATTAGAAAAAAAGAGAGAGTCCAAAACCTCAAATCCCCAATTGTATCAGACTCTACTGTTAGGCACTTTCAGAAATGTTTAGCCTTTTGTTAGACTTTCTTCTTTTAATACTGTAGTAACAAGCCACAGAATTCACCAGTCATGCTGCTTTGGATTCATTAGGTGAGTTGGGTTCTTTCCATTTGGCAGTTGTCACAATGTATTGAACAGTTGAGGTTACGGCAGTGCACACAGAAAAGGCAGCGGCTACACAAGCTCAGGTGGAAGAGCAACATCACAGGCACACCTCGTATCACTCGCCCCAGCTGAGGTATTACCTTATTGTGGCCAAGTTCAGAAGTCTCAAACCAAGTGAGTGGACACTGTCACTTTGTGCCCAACTATCTACTACTACCCACACGTACCCCAGTGTTACACTTCATTTTTGTGCCATTGTGCACAAACACCATATGACGTGGTGACTGCAGTGTGGCTTAGGGTGTAGTGCAGTGATAGGTTTGCAATGCACAACTACGTGTGTAGGTTGGATGCAATGCAGAGTGGTTCAGGTATGGGCACAGAAGTGGAAGTGTGGAGTATAGCCAATGTAGGGTGTAGATATCAGATGCTACACAGATTAGGTATGGTGATACCGTTGACTCATTCACAGAGGATGCACTCTACAAAGACATGAAGAATTGACACAGTGATTCTAAGTAGACAGCACTTTCTAACATCCATGCTAATAAACTTTGTGATGAAAATAAATACATTTCTCAAGTACTGAAGGTCATGGGATTGTGCCATTCTGATTAGCACCTGCATACCTGATGAAAATACTGTTCTTTCGTTATACTGCCTGAAAACTCTGCTCAGGGTGTACAAGCCAGTTCACACACTAAACACTCAACTCATTTTATTAGAAGAAACCTTACTGGAAACTTGGGATTCAGTGAAGCAGTTAACAATGCATTTTAGATATAGTAGGAACTGCAGATGCTGGAGAATCTGAGATAACAACGTACAGAGCTGGATGAACACAGCAGGCCAAGCAGCAAGGCTGACGTTTCGGGCCTAGATGGTGAAGGGTCTAGGCCGGAAACGTCAGCCTTCCTGCTCCTATGATGCTGCTTGGCCTGCTGTGTTCATCCAGCTCTACACCTTGTTATCTCAACAATGCATTTTAAGTGAGAATGGGAATGCACTGTTGTGACTACAACACAAAAACAGGGAGCCGACGGAGAAGTTCCCATTGCAAAACAAATCACAACGTTATCATGAATTGGGTCGAGTGTGTCTTAATACAAGTCTGAATCCTGAATCTAGCAACACTCCTGGGCAATTTAAGCCACAGTAATTTAAAAAAACACAACAAATAATCAATAAGCTCTTACTGCTCCTTTGAAGGTGCACACCAGTCATCAAGGCAATTCACTCAAAGGCTAACAACAACAAAAAAAAAAGAATCACACTGATCACAAATGTGGATGAGGCTGCAGTCTCATTATCCCAGAGCCTGCCATTGCAAGTAACCAGTCAGAACTCCAGACTGTTAGTACAAACAATAAAAAGTACATTTCTTTTAAAAAAAAAAGGACAGCTACTTCTCTCCTGAATTCTAACAACGCAATCCGCCACAGTTACATAATATACAAAAAAAAAAGAGGCATCAAGCAAACATCCCACAGCCCCGCTCACCCAGTACAGTACATAATGTCCATAAGAAGAGACAAGCAACTGGCAGAGGAAACGGCATCCGAGGGAAGAGTCCAGATTCCACAGAAGAGGCAGCAAGTTTGTCTTTTGATCTGCTATTCAAGTACTGAAGTGTAGAGGGAGAGAAGATGAATCACGTTTTCTTGAAAAATACATAAAAGCAGCATCAACCTTGCTTGCACGGTTGGCCGGTGACAGGGACAAGAAATTGCCCCATATGGTATTCCGCAGTTACTCTGCCATATCAACGCAGACCATGATACTTGATTCCAATTTGTGGAGAGATGGGGGAGGAGGGGGGTGGGGCAGGGGAAGAAAAGAGTCAAGGGGTAAAGAGAAGGAGACCCTAGCGATTACTCTTCATTGCATCTTTGGCTGCCAGAATCAGCGGTGTCAAACTAGACAAAGGCTTGGCCAGCTTCAGGAACGGATGCTGTAAGAGAGAGGGAAAAAAAGAGACACACATAGACGTGAGAGCTCACAGATGCAGATTGTGGTCAACTCAGAATAGCACCGGGTGTAATGCCATCACTAGCAAAGATCGATAAGAACTTCCAGTTAGTACATTATTTGCAAAACCCAGCAACTGGTCTTCACACTGAAGAGTAACAAGTGCAATGCTGTCCCAAAAAGCGAAGTGTGATGACCCCAGTTAATGGTAACATTGGAACCCAGACTGAGGCCTGGTTTGAAAAGACCACAGAGGTTTTATTTGTTTTTGTTTACCATGGAGGTGGTCAGTCACTGAACATAGGCATGAGGGGCAAAAAGCTTTGACCAGAACTATTTTGAAATGGTCTCATTATAAATAGCAGAAAGAATCAAACTTTTTACCCTCAACAATAACCTCACAGGTAGTTAAATCTCATGGAGACCCTGTCTCCACACCAAAGTCCCTTTTTCAGTTGGCACTACTGCAATTGGTTTCTGCAGCCTTTTTTTAAATAACAGACTTTGAAGTAACTTCAGAGCGAGTATAAGGGTTTTTGGTACACTAAGCTTCCAAACATTTTCTGGCTAATTTTTTTAGTATCTTAGCACTTCATCCTCTGAATGCCCGGCACCCACAGGCCCAGATTCTGACTTTCTGGACCTTTGTCTCCCACTGTCATTGGGTTGTTGGCTGGTGAAACATTTTTTTTTTCTTTTCTAGTCTCTATTCCTAAAGCAATGAATTATTCATTCATTGAGGGTTTAAATACTTCATTCAAATGCACAGGAAAATCCAATCTTAAGACACCCTGGTACTTTGCTCAGAGCAAATCTAAAATGAAACAAACTATACACCCGCCCTCTCAACACACGAGAGAATTAAAATCCAACTTAAAACTCTAGTGTTCTTGCACTTTCAAATCAATACTCAAACAATAATACAATTATACAAGACATTAGTCAGTGTGCGCACCCAGAGTATTGCATACAATTTTGGTTCCCTAACTTGGTGAGGCGGTGGGGTGAGGGGATCTAGAGGCAGTTCAGCGTAGGTTCATGGGATTGATTCCAGAAATGGGAGGCTTGTCTTATGAGGAGAGATTAAGCAGTTAAGGCCTATACTCTCTGGAGTTTAGAAGAGCGAAAGGAGATCCAATTGGAGGTACACAAGATGCTAAAGGGGACTGACAATAGATGTAGAGCAGATGTTTCCTCATAAGAGACAATCTAGAACAAGAAAAGTCAGTTTTAAAACTGCTAGCCCTTATCTTAAATCTGAGAGGAGAAGAAATTCTCTCAGTTGTCACTCTATGGAATTCACTACCTCAGTGTTTTAGATACTGGGACAGTCAGAGTTTTAATTAGTAATGTCTTAAAGAGTTATGGAGAGTGGACGGAAAGCAGAGTTGAGGCTGAGAGGAGATCAGCCATGATCATATGAAATGCAGAGCTGGCTACATGGGCTGAGTGGCCTGACTCCTGCTCCCAGTTCTCATGTTCTCACATTTTATGAACCTTCATCACAGAAGGAACATCTCTCCAAGAGTCATTTTCCTCTGGGTTAGGTCTTCTCATTTGGAGGATACAAGATTAAAAAAACGGTTCCAGGTCTCTCACAATGGGCATCAGTACATTTCTAGATACGGAAGAGGGAAAATAGCATCAAGGTGATTACCATTTGAATTGCAGAGCCCCTTTGGAAGTGCCAAATGGGCTGCTCCTATTTCCTGAGTTGACCTGAGATTGATAGGGTGGTAATTGGCAGAGTTGGATTTGTCTTGCTTTGTGTGTATAGACATACCTGGGCAATTTTCCAAATTGCCAGGTTGATGCCATGTTGTAGCTCTGCTGGAACAGCTTGCCCAGTGGTATGGTGATCTCTCATGGTGCCTTGTTTTGACTTGCTCGTTCTATTTGAAGGTTGTCCCATTGTATCATGGTGGTAGTACCACAATATGGATGGAGGGTATTCTGAATATGAAGACCAGACTTCATCTCCACAGACAGTGGGTACTCCCAGTGACACTGTCATGGATAGATGCATCTGTGATGGGTAGACTGGTGAGGACAAGGTCAAGTAGTTTTCACCCCCTCGTTAGCTCCCTCACCAACTGTTGCAGACACAGTTTAGTAGCTGTGCTCTTTAGACCTCAGCCAGCTCAGTCAATGGTGCTGCTACTGGGCCACTCTTAGCAATGGGCATGGAAAACCCCACCCAGAACACAGTTTGTACCCAAACCATCCTCAGTGCTTCCTCCAAGTGGTGCTCAACACAGAAGTGTATTAAATTCATCTGCTGGAAGGAGTGGTTCTGAGGTTAGGTAGGCAGGTGGCAATTTGCAGGTTTTCTTATCTATATTTGACCTGATATGAAAAGTCTTTCTGGGCTCCAAAGTCATTGCTGAAGACTCAGGGCAACTCCTCCTTTATTCTATACCGCAACCACCATCTCTGCGGCATTGCCTGTAAGGTCTGATTCCATCAGTATCACTGCATCAGGCTGTTGCTTGATTAGTCAGTGGGAAAGTGATTCCAATTTTGGTACAAGGTCCCCGATGTTGGTAAGGAAGACTCGACTGGGTTAACAGGGTTGCGCATGCAGTCATCATTCCCGGTGCCTAGGGGGAATGTGGAGATCCACTGAGTTCAGACTTTGTCGCGATAGGGTTTGACACAATTGAGTGGCTTGCTGGACCATTTCAGGAAACCATATTGCCGGGGTCTGGAATCACATAGTCCAGACCAGGTAAGGCTGGCAAACTTCCTTCCCTAAAGGGCATTAGTGAACTCGGTGGATTTTTACAATATTCGATATGGTGAGCATCAAGCGTGCTTTTTATTTTCAGAGTTTACTGAATTCTAATTTCACCACTATGGTGGAATTTGAACCCACAGCCCCAGAACATTAGCCTGGAATTCTGAATTACTGGTCCAGCGACATTAGCATTATGCCACTACCTGCTGCAATTGTTGCAAATTCTCACGTAATCCTTGAACAAAGAAACCAAAAACATTCTGGAATTACAAGAGACAATCGTTACCTGTAGCAACTCCTTCCCAGACCCTCGTTTTTCCACATCCATCTCCAAACAGCGGTTGAGAAAGTCACGGAAGATTGAGGATAGCTTCTCTGGATTCTGCAGCTCTGGAGTGCCATTAGTGGCAATCAGATACAAGGCCTGCAATGATGGCAGATAAAAGAAGAAGCAAGAGTTGTAAGCAATCCACGCTAATAATAAAAATGCCATGTCTATTCCTCGTTGTTACCAGGACTCCGATATACCTACGATCCAAAGTACATTTACACCCAGGTCCTTGAGCTCCTGTACACCCTTTAGAATTGTGACCTTTATGTTATACCATCTGTCAATGTTCTTCCTGCCAAAATGCAGAATTTCACACTTGAACTGAATCGCCAACTATCTACCAATGCCACCAACTTGTCAATTTCCTTTTGGAGTTGTTCACTGTCATCCTCTCAGTTTACAAAGCTTCCAAGTTTCACACCATCTACAAACTTGGAAATTCTTCCCTGCAAACCAAGATCCATAATGTCAGTATATATCAGGAAAAGAAAGGGTCCCAATACTTACTCTTGGGGAACTCCACTACAAACCTTTCTCCAGCCTGAAAAACATCCATTAACCATCCCTCTCAGTTCCCCATCTCAGCCAGTTTCGTATCCACCTTTCTACTGTCCATCTTATTCCACGACTTATAATTTTCTGCATAATTGAGAGGAGTAGTATTCTATAAAAACATCTTCTGGAAGTCCAACTACACACCACATCAACATCAGTCTCATTGAGGCTGTTACTCTTTAATAAAGAACCGCAGCAAATTAATCGATCACAATTTCTCCTTTAGAAATCTATGATGGCTGTTCCTAATCAACCCACCTTTTCCTATGTGTCTCCCAACTCCATCCCAAATAATTGCCTCTAGAAACCTCCCCATCGCTGAATTTAAACTGACTGGTCTAGTATTTGCTGGGCTTATCCTGCTGCAATGCAGATGCAAAGAGGTTTCATTACAACCTAGTTGAGTGTGTGGGCAAACATTGCAGATGGAGTGCAGATGTTTACTAGGCTGAAACCAGGGCAGTCCTATTCAGAGAGATTGACTTGACCAAGTCTGTATTCACAGGAGTTTGGATGGAGGGGGAATCAGATTGAAATGTGCAAGATTCTAACATGGCTAGACAGACTAGATGTAGGGAAGAGGTTTTCCCTGGTTGGGGAATTTAGAACCATGGATCATAATCTCAGGATACAGAGTAGGCTATTTAGAACTGAGATGAGGAAACATTTCTTCCCTCAGAGGCTATCAACCTGTGAAATTCGCTACTACAGAATGCTATGGAGAGTGGGTTGCTAAATGTATTCAAAAGGGAGATTGATTTTTAAAAAAATATATTAAAAGGTATCAAGGGGAATGAGGAGAAAGCAGGAATATGATGTTGAGATACTGATATTGAATGGCAGAACAGACTGTGAACAGCCAAATAGCCTATTCCTTATCCTGGTTTCGATATTTATCCTTACAGCTTTTCTGGAACAATTTTAGGATACTTGCAATTCTACAGTAGTCTAGAGAAGACAAAGATTAGGCCAGTTGCCCCGTAAATTCCACTCTCATTTCCTTTAATACCCTTGGATGCATCTCATCTGGTCCCACTACTTTGCCAACCTCGAGGACAAACAGTCTATCCAATACGGCTTCTTTTCCAATTTTGAACCCTTCTAGCCATGGTGTTTCTTGCTTAGTCACCATGGCTTGGGTACACCTACCTCCTTGGTTAAGATAGACGCAAAGTTTTCATTTAATACCTCAACCAAGTCCCCTGCCTAAGTGCATAAATCCCCTTTTTGGACCCTAAAATTGCTCTGACTCCTTTTACCACTTAGCGATTTTTCTGCTTACGATGACTTTGGGATTCCTCTTATGTTCACTCCTAGGCTTTTCTAATAATTCCTCTTTGCTTTCTCTAAAAATGCCTTTCACTTCCCCCCAAACTTCTGTATTCAGCTTGGTTTCCAATTGCATTTGCTACCCAACACCTGTCATAAAGCACAGTTTTTTGTTTAATCTTACTTTCCATCTCATAAGAACACAAGAAATTGGAGCAGGAGCTGGCCATTTCATCCCTCAAAAAGTAGCCCTGCTATTCAGCAAGATCATGACTGATCTTCTCCAGATCTCAACTCCTCTTTCATGACAACTTCTCACAGACCTCAAATTTCAACCGAGTTCAGAACGGGTTATATGAATGGAGGATCCCAACACCATATTGGCAAGTTGAGATACTGATTACACCCCTCCCTGGCACTAGCCATAAGCAATGAAGCAGATTTGAATGGAAACGAAATGGGGCTGTGTCTTGACTGCTCAGGTTCTATAAAGAGTGTCTTGGCCCCCAGAAGCCCAATTTGAAGAAAATGCCAACCAGATTTGAGAGATCTTGGTTCACATTTCAAGGGAACATGGGGGGAAATTTCAGGAAGAGCAAAGTATGCGCAGTTAGAAAAGGTCCTGCATTCCTTTAGCTAAGCATAAGAACAAACACCCCCACTCTCCACTAATATCTTTCTGATTCTCCATTAGTTTTCCCAACACTAGCTGTCTCCACTACCTCTCCGTACGGTCTTCTCCCACGAGGAGCTCGAACAGTTCATCCACTTCACTAACACCTTCCACCCCAACCTTAAGTTCACCTGGACCATCTCGGATACCTCTCTCTCCTTCCTGGACCTCTCTATCTCCATCTCTGGCATCCACCTGGAAACCGATATCCATTTCAAGCCTACACCGCATCTGCTCTCAAGATGAGGCATTCCACTCCCTGACATCCCAGATGTCCTCGTTTTTCAAGGACTGCAACCTCCTCTCCACAGTGGTCAAAAATGCCCTCGACCAGGTCTCTCGCATTTCCCGCAACTCATCCCTCACACCCCCTACCCACAATAACAACCAAAACAGAATCCCCCTCGTCCTCACGTACCACCCCACCAACTTCTGAATCCAACGCATCCTCCGACACTTCTGCCATCTGCAATCTGACCCCACTACCAAAGACATTTTTTCCCCTCCCCACCCTTATCTGCTTTCCGGAGGGACCACTCTCTCCGTGATTCCCTTGTCCACTCCACACTCCCTTCCAGCCCCACCACCCCCGGCACTTTTCCCTGCAACCGCAGGAAGTGCTACACCTGCCCCTACACCTCCCCCCTCAACCCCATCCCAGGCCCTAAGACAACCTTCTGCATCAAACAGACGTTCGCGTGTACATTTGCTAATGTGGTATACTGTATCTGCTGCTCCCATTGTGGGCCTCCTCTACATCAGGGAAACCAAGTGGAGGCTTCGGACTGCTTTGCGGAACACCTACACTCGGTTCGCAATAAACAACTACACCTCCTAGTCGCGAAACATTTCAACTCCCCCTCCCACTCCTTGGACGACATGTCCATCCTGGGCCTCCTGCATTGCCACAATGATGCCACCCGAAAGCTGCAGGAACAGATCTCATGTTTCGCTTGGGAACCCTGCAGCCCAAGGGTATCAATGTGGGCTTCACAAGCTTCAAAATCTCTCCTCCACCGACTGCATCCCAAAACCAGCCCAGCTCATCCCCGCCTCCCTAACCATTCCTCCCACCTCAAGCCCCACCCCCATCTCCTACCCACTAACCTCATCCTGCTCCCTTAACCTGTCCATCCTCCCTGGACCGACCTATCCCCTCCCTAAATACCCCCCCTACACTCACCTTTACTGGCTCCATCCCCACCTCTTTGACCTGTCTGTCTCCTCTCCACCTATCTTCTCCTTTATCCCTCTTCTATCCGCCTCCCCCTCTCTCCCTATTTATTTCAGAACCCCCTTCCCCTCCCCCAGTTCTGATGAAGGGTCTAGGCCCGAAACGTCAGCCTTCCTGCTCCCCTGATGCTGCTTGGCCTGCTGCGTTCATCCAGCTCTACACCTTGTTATCTCTGTGCACAAAATAATTTTGTTTACACCTCCAACAGCCACAACCATCTTCCTATGTGAAGTTATGACTCCAACCAGAGAATTTGCCTGCTGATACTCGTTTATTCCAGCTTTGCTGGGATGCCTTGATGCCATACTCTGTCGGATGCAGCATTAATATCAAGGGCCGTCACTCTCACCTCACTTCTAGAATACAGCTCTTTTGTCCAAGTTTGAACCAAGGGTGTAATGAGGTCAGGAGCTGAGTGCCCTAAATCGATGACACCTTTTGGAATATGGGCCAAGCTAGCACATTAAAGAAACTTGAATACTTTTAATAGCAGCTTTAGGCCATGGAATACAGGATCGTCAACTATGTTTTCGTTCAAATACCTTCAAGTCTGGGACCATTCACTTCGGACTCAACACGTGCAATGAAAGTAGAGAGGCTGCAGACTCACCCTCAGTGGATTCTCATTTAGGTAAGGGGGCTCGCCTTCCACCATCTCAATGGCCATGATCCCCAATGACCAGATATCAACCTTGGGGCCATAGGCTTTCCTGGTGACCACTTCGGGTGCCATCCAGTAAGGTGTGCCCACCATGGTGCTGCGTTTGCTCTGCTCTGGTGTGATCTGGGCACAGAACCCAAAGTCAGCTATATGGAGAAAAACAAATATGGCTTTAAAAAAAGTGTTTGGAAAGCTTCAACAATGAAACCTACCACAAATGTGACAGATTTTAGAAAATTATTGGATGTTCAACTTGGAGTTGGTCATTTTTACATGAAGTGGATAGTACTCCTATTGTTCCCTCTGTAGATGGGATTTAAAGAAAACTAGTTTTAAACGTAAAGGGTGAATACAGGGACAGCGCAGACCAATAAATAAAGCCTTAAACATGCAAGAAGTTGTCACGTCGGACTAATGTCACTAGCCTCATAATCCAGAGACGTTAATGTTCCGGGGATTAGGGTTTGAAATGGGTATCAACACGGGATTGAAAGTTGAATTCAATAAGATCTCAAATTAAAACAAATCTAATGACAACCATGGTCTGTTGTTGATTGACATTAAAACCCACCTAATTTATATTCTTAAGCAATCTGGCCTACAACTGGGGCCTCACAGCACCAGCGACCCAGGTTCAATTCCACCCTCGGGCAACTGTCTGTGTGGAATTTGTGCATTCTCCCCATGTCTGCGTGGGTTTCCTCTAGGTGTTCCAGTTTCCTCCCACTATCCAAAGATGTCCAGGTTAGGTGGATTGGCCATGGGAAATGCAGGGTTACAGGGATGGGGGGAGTCTGGGTGGGATGCTTTTTGGAAGGTCAGTGTGGAAACAATGGGCTGAATGGCCTGCTTCCACACTGTAGGGAGTCTGTGATTCTGTGCAGTGTAGACCTCCAGACCAATAACAATGTGGTTGACTTTCAACTGCCCTCTGAAATGGCTTAGACAGCCAATCTGTTCAAGGGCAACTAAGGAGTAACAAATGCCAGCTTTGCTAGCCCACATCCCACGTAAGAATAAAAACAACATTAAAACAGATGATAAGGTGTAGAGCTGGATGAACACAGCAGGCCAAGCAGCATCAGAGGAGCAGGAAGGCTGACGTTTCGGGCCTAGACCCT